CAGAAAGACTACATCCACCGTGACACCTGCATCCATGGCATACATGGTCAGTCTGTTCCATGTCTGAAGTTCTCTGAAACCCACCTGGGATGGATGTTCCACATATATAGCTGAAAGCTGAGGCCAGAAGAAAGTGGGAAATATTTTGGCAGCAAGGATTTTTTGGTCATATCTTTTATTGGACCTACTGTATGGTTGGGAGAGATGTTAGACAAGCTTTCAGGCAGAAAGTGCCCTTCTTCAGGTCCAGGAAATAAGCAAATACAGTTGGAGCTAAATAACAGAACAATGACTTGTGTCTAGCTCCATATGGGACACTTACCAGGAGGGTAATGCCCATAGGAACAACTGCTCCAGGGGTGCATTAGATTCTCCATCCTGTTAAGCCTCTAAACCGTAATTGGATGCCTTTCTAAATGATGCACAATAGCACAAGCAGAAATTATGGGTTCTCTGAAGATATTTTGAGTAAGGATCTATGGCTTGTGTTATATAAAAGAATAAAGCAAGCTGGTTTATAGTTCTCTTAAAATCTAAGACCTATGAAACATTCTTTCCCCTGCAATGTCTCATCATTTATATTTTTATAATTTTAATGCCAAATCACAACCCAAACATACTTTTTCTTTTCCTTTGCCCTTCTAATGTTCATCACTGTTATTTATTATGCTGTAATTCTGTGAGCACTCTGGATGAAAGATGCCACTGATACTAGGTGCTGGGAAAAGATTCTGTCCCTTTTATGTATTAAGGCTCCTTGCCTGTTAATTTGACACTCTTACTTTATCCTAGCCAAGAAATAGAGTTGCAAGGGTGTAAGAAGTAAATGTATTTTTATTATTGCATTTTATGCTGTGGAATTGATTGACTTCAGTGTGGTTGCACGTATAAAACATTACAGAACATGAATAATTAATGGTTTTTGACCATTCATAACAAACATCCTGATTCTGCAAACTCTACATCAGCTTCCAGTCTACAGAAGTATGTGCCAAAAAATCATAGAAAATTAGGGTTGCAAGGGACCTCAGGAGGTCATCTGGCTCAACCCCTTGCTCGAAACAAGACCAGACCCAGTCAGATCATTCCAGCCAGGGCTTTGTCCAGCTGCATCTTAAAAACCTCCCAGGTTGGAGTTGGAGATTCCACCAACTCTCTAGGTAACTTGTTCCACCCTCCTAGTGAGAAAGTTTTTCCTAATAGCCAACCTAAACTTTTCTTGCTGCAGATTGAGACAATTGCTCCTTGTTTTGTCATCTGCCACCAGTAAGAACAGTTTAGCTCCATCCTCTTTGGAATCACCCTGCAGGTAGTTAGAGGTTGCTATCAAATCCTGCCCCAGTCTTCTCTTCTCTAGACTAAATAAGCCCAGTTCCTTTAGCCTCTTCTCATAAGTGATGTCCCCCAGCCCCTAACCTTTTTTGTTGCCCTCTGCTGGACTCTCTCCAATTTATCCACATCCTTTCAAAACTGGACACTCCAGATGTGGTCTCACCAGTGCAGAATAGAGGGGAATAATTACTTCCCTTGATCTGCTGTTAATGCTCCTACTAATGCAGTCCAGTATGCTATTAGCCTTCTTGGCAACAAGGGCACATTGTTGACTCATATTCAGCTTATTCACTGTAACCCCCAGGTCCTTTTCTGCAGAACTGCTGCTTAACTACTTGGTCCCAAGCCTATAGCAGTTCATGGGATTCTTCCATCCTAAGTGCAGGACTTTCCACTTGTTTCTGTTAAACCTCATGATATTTCTTTTGGCCCAGTCCTTCAATTTGTCTAGATCACTATGAATCCTAGCCCTACCCTCCAATCTACTACTCCCCCTATGAACTTGCTGAGGGTGCACTCTATGCCATCTTCCAGATCTTTAATGAAGATATTGAACAAAACTGGCCACAGGACCAGCCCCTGGACACTCTACTTGATACTGGCTGCCAACTAGACAGTGAGCCATTAATCACTACCCATTGAACCTGATGATGTGGGCAGCTTTCTATGCACTTTACAGTCCATTCATCCATTCTTAGCTTGCTTGCAAGAATGTTGTGGGAGACCATATCAAAAACCTTGTTAAAGTCAAGGTACATCACATCCACTGCTTTCCCTGCATCCACAGAGCCAGTCATTTCATCATAGAAGGCAATCAGGTTTGTCAGGCATGAGTTATCTTTGGTGAATCCATGCTGACTATTCCTGATCACTTTCTTCTCCAAGAGCTTCAAAATGGATTCCTTGAGGATCTGGTCCATGTTTTTTCTAGGGACTGAGGTTAGGTTAACTGGTCTGCAGTTCTCTAGATCCTCCTTTCCTTTCTTAAAGATGGGCACTATATTCGCCCTTTTCCAATCATCTGGGACCTCCCCTGATCACCACAAGTTTTCAAAGATAATGGCCAGTGGCTCTGCAAACACATCAGCCAGCTTCCTCAGCACCTTTGGGTGCATTGCAGCTGGCCCCATGGACTTGTACACATCCAGCTTTTTTAAACAGTCCCTAACCTGTCCTTTCACCACTGAGGGCTGCTCACCTTCTCCCTAAACTGTTCTACCAGATGCAGTAGTTTGGAAGCTGACCTTGCCTGTGAAGACAGAAGTAAAAAGGCATTAAATACTTCAGCCTTTTCCTCCCCATCTAT